GAAGGAAGGAGGGCTATAGTTCATCACATTCAGACTCCAGTAATCTTTCCTACAGGTATTTTTCCAACCTGCATATTTAAACAAACAGGAAGCTGAGCACGTCTTTGATGATTTCACATCATGAGCTGCCCCGCCTTTAGAGCTGCAGTAGCTTACAGTAATACACTGTATGAAGAGTTGTGAGTCATTGTGGCTTTTCAGCTTGAACGCATCAATTCACTGAATGTGTTCCAACCCAAAGGCCAGCCTGGATGAATGCATTGCTTTCAGCACATCAGTTGCCACCACAACATGTCCCATCCACTGTAGTTAGGTTCAGGCAAAATGTATCTGAGTTAAATATTACACAAGTGTTTGGTGGGTAGAGCTGCTAAAAACAGATAGAAGGGCTGCACTGTGATGATTCAGGGTGGTTTCATCATGTTGGCTGACACATACTGTGTGTTTAGTCTAAACTTCTTATGAAAGGAAGCTCTTTTCTTCTCTTCACAGAAAGGTCAGAGGTCTCATTGCGGAAGTCAGATGCATGCCAAATCATTTTGATAATGGAAAAAGAATTCATGTCAGCCTCTGAGTTGCAATTCAGGATCAGAGATAACAGCAATTTCTGACAAAAAAAAAAAATGTTCAGGAGTCTTAACAAACCACTGGCAACAGTTTTGCACAGCCAACATTGCTGGTAGTTACACACAAATAAAATCCAATGTTAACTGACACAAAGACAATCAATCAATGCAATTAATTTGGCCAAAAAGAACTTTCACTTGATAATAAATTGCTCCAAATACTGCAGTAGTAGTTATTGTGTAACCACAAAGTGAGCAGCAGAGGAAACTGTCTTAGAATGATGCGTGCACACCCCCAAGTCCCCCAGACAAAGGGTGGGAAGTCTAACTGAATAAGCAAGTAATTTTATAAGTGAAAAAATATGAATGAACGAGACAATGAATGAATAACATGTTTTGTTTAAACTACCAAAAAACAAATGAGCAAATAAACTAATAAACACCCCCTTCTTAAAAACAGCAGGGAAATAAATCTAATCAGCAGTGTCTGTGATAGATGGACACTTAAATTAAGAAATAATCAAATGAAAAACTAAATAATAAAAGCAGAAAACACAGGACACATCCACAGCCTACAGTCTCAAAAGCCCTTGTGTGTGCAGCTATGACTGATGGAGAGAGAGAAGTTTCCATTCAGAAGGAATGACCTTCCTTTTCACACTCTGCAGCTCTGTGGCTGGGACCCCACCCTGGGTGATGCTTTGGACTTATGTCTGTTTCTCATTGAGATTCCAGACACTTTTCACAACTCAAAAAAAAAAAAACAGACCAACTCCCTGCTTCACCATGCCAAATGTTGTCATACATCTGCTGCTACTGTAGAGCTCTGGCATCCACCTCTGAAGCTGGCTAATAGTCAGAGCATGTGGTGCCTCACTCACTCATTTGTTCTGGCTTTTCTTCACTTTATTTTGCCCCCAGTGTTTTCAGGCAGCGCCTAACTTTTTGTTTTGCCTTTGTAGAGCATCTGTTCATGTGTCCTCTGCCTTTTTTCGATCCATTTGTCTTTAAACGTCTGTCTGCCTGCTGCTGCGCACTTTTATGTGTTTGTGTCATTGCTCTCTCTCAGATGGAGTAGGAAAATATTTTCCTCTTCCTCTCTGACATGACCATGTCTTACTAGTATACAAGCAAATTACAACAGAAATCATATTATCTGTGGAAACTAACCAAACCCAGTTCAGTGCTGTCTCATATTTTCCATGTTTGGTAATGGTTTTTAATCAAGTTTGTAGTTGGACAACATGTTGTTTAGGTTTGACCGCTGGAATATGAATACATTTTACTTTATATTTTGCTTTCGTGTATTTTTTTTCCTTCTGATTTTCTTTTTCCAAAGCTCTCAATGTCTCAATATTACTTGAGGTCTCAACAAGCGACCTCAGTGACAAGAAAGAAGATGACTAATGGAAAAGGTGAATGCAACGGCTAGAAAAATAACTTCAGAGCCACAGTATGTTTTGATTGATACACTGCAGCAATCACACATTTCTGATGAGTTTGGAAATACAGAGGTGCTTACATTCCATCTAGTGTGTGAACTACAGGGCTTCTCGGAGCATTTTGGGCCCCTTGACAATCTCAAAATGAAATTCAGGGGGGCCTCAGAAATGTGGCCAGTTATTTTCTATTTATTGATATAATACAGTTTATTAGCATGTAACTTTATAAACATTTATTTTTTAAAACAATAAAAATATATTGTCACTCTACTGCATTGCACCAAACGTGATCATCCACCAGAAATAGATCATGGTCCACAGGAGCACGCAGGCTTTTGTGCCCAATTGTCTACACATACAGCTGCTTTTGTTGAGAGAAAACCATCACAAAATACAAACACAGGGAGCATATACCCCCCGTGGTGGCAACAAAGTTATGTCTTTGTAAAACATGACCATTTGAGGAAGCTGTAAGTGAACAGGGAGCAACAGCAGCGTACATATTCATTATTTACCATGGCTCTTGAGCTAATGTCATCTAAAAGTCAAAAACATTATGGTTTGTGTCTTTAAATGTTATTTTTTGTGTGAAATATCATTTAAGAGCTTGTGCAATTTACACAATCCACCCACACTGACCCAACACCCACTTAGTTTCATAAGATAATTTAAACGCTGCTGTGGTTTCATAAATCGTCGTACTGCTGAGTGTCTGTGGTTGTTTGCATTTGAGGAACATATGGTCAGACTCTAACCTCTCATCTCGCACACTTACAACACTTGCTGTATCGAAGCCAGAGCACTGATGATGATGAAGACTCACGTGCGCTTCATTTGGTTAACATGAATGAATGTGTTTCATTTGTGAGTCACAGAAAGACCCCGTGACCTGGGTGTAGCTCACCGTATGTGACATTATCTCACATTACAGGGTCATCATGCGGCTATCTTGATCAGTATTTGAAGATAAAATTAAATGAGATGTTACTTTTTCTAACATCCCCATTGTATAACATAAACCAGGTTCATATAAAATTAAAAAGTATAGTAATTTGCTGAAGCACTAGTTTTCTTTGTGTCATGGATTTTTGAGCTGATGTCTCATCAGTGGTAGGAAATCCTCTTTCTCAGTCAAATCCATAACAATTCATATAGAATGATTTGTATATATAATTGACTCTCATTGGCTTTTGACACTGTAGAACTAAACTAGTTGAGCCTAAATATAACTGCAAGGGTTAAAGAGGAACGAATGATTCAGTGCTTTTCTCACTATGAGGAATCTGTGTAGGAACAACATTTCTCCACACAGTGGAAATTCAAAACACTCCCATTTCCACCCCCCAAAACCCTGCATGCATTTTCAACATGTACACGTGGCCAGATTACAAACTATTCTCTGCTCTACTCCCTGTTTTGCAGACATACATACCTTGAAGTGGTAAACAGGCCGTAGATAAGAGGGTTCTTTTTGTCCTTCCCATGGAGGATAAACACGTCCTCTGGATTGAAAGAATGAGGAAAGAGGGAGAGGTGAGGAGAAGACAGAGAAGGAGAATGAAAAAGAGAAAAAGTTAAAACAGTACTTAAAACACAGTCAAAATCAAAACTGTCTGAATTAAGGTTTAATTAGTGTTGCACAGGCTTGTGTATTCATGTATGGTCTGTATGTGTCCAACCTTCATGAGTTTGTATAACTGTCTCTATTTGTGTTTTTGTGTAGTGGTATTTCAGTTTCAGTTTGTATTTGGTATTCATTATGTCTGTGCGTATCTGTTTGTGTGTGCATCTATCAGGCTGACTGTGTGACTAATAGCGTCGGGCGTGCTGGCAGCATGGCTGACTGGCTGCTTGTAATGAATCTGTAGCCATTAATAACCAGCCACAGTGGGAGAGCTGAGCGCCGAGGCCGCCGCAGGAGAACAACACTTGCTGTCACACACACAAACACTGAACCTCAGCCTTCACTCTTCATTTCAAACACAACATCTGATATGTTTCTTCTCAGTTTGGTGTTGCTCCCACTGCGGTGCCTCACGCAGTGCAAACAGGTGGAGTCTGGATTTTTTTTTTTTACATCTGTCTGTCTTTAAATCCTAATAACTCGCACACCAGTGGTTCAAATTTGGAGAACACTGGTGGAATTTTCAAATTGTGTTCAAGCATTTGAACTTCAATTTGAACAAGATATACCACACATCAACTATCTGACTGATGAAATGATGCATGTGATGACTGAACTGCAGCTTTGATAAATGACACTAATTAAAGCTTTATGTATTAACTTGGCACAGTAGTAACACCCTGGAATGTAGGTCAGAATCAATCAACTGCAAAACTGATAAAAATTAATTTACCATAAAAACATAACACAGAGTTCTAATTAATCCATATCCTACATAATTTCTCACCAATGAGTAATATTTGGTGAGTCTCTAGATCTGCCTTCTTTCACCTGCGCAATATTGCAAAAATCAGGAGCATCCTGTCTCAAAGTGATGCTGAAAAACTGGTCCATGCATTTGTTACTTACAGGCTGGACTACTGTAACTCTTTACTATCAGGATGTCCCAATAATTCCCTAGAAAGCCTCCAGTTAATCCAAAATGCTGCAGCCAGAGTACTGACAGGAACTAGCAAGAGAGATCATATCTTTCCCGTATTAGCTTCTCTCCACTGGCTCCCTGTAAAATTCAGAATAGAATTTAAAATCCTTCTCCTAACATACAAAGCCCTTAATGACAAGGCTCCATCGTATCTTAAAGACCTCGTAGAGCCTTATCATCCTAACAGAGCACTTCACTCTCAGAGTGCAGGTTGACTTGTGGTTCCTAGAGTCCACAGAAGCAGAATGGGAGGTAGAGCCTTTAGCTATCAAGCTCCTCTCCTATGGAACCAACTCCCAGTCTCAGTTCAGGAGGCGGACACCCTCTCT